CGAAAATAAGACAGGGTATTATTTTCTTTTGACTCCCAAAATATGCGCTTGGCCTTATTTTCGGGGAGGTCTTATTTTTGAGGTGCAGGAGGCAGCGAGCATAGTCACCTCATGGCTGCTCTGTTGCTGTGTTGCAATATTTTCAGGGAGGGCTTATTTTAGCGCATGCGCTCAAAAGCCCCATTGGGCTTATTATCCAGGGAGGTCGTATTTTCGGGAAAACAGGGTAGCACTCCCCACTTCAGTGGCGGCGGGCTGTGTCACCTCTTAAATGTGCATTTTGTTAAGTGGCTAAACTTGCCTTTCTTATCGTCTGTCTAATCTCAACCCACCTCACATTCAGGAGAGTAATCTAGGACTTTTTTACCCTCTGCTGTCAATAAATAAAGACAATAGCAATACTACTATATGGCAGAATAGGAATGGACAATAAGGGCACAAGAGTTTATGCCTCTGCATTTTTTTACTAGAGCAGGAACTGGTAGATTGCACTTTGAGACAAGCCTGCAGACTTTCTTTTGCTAATTGTAAAGATGAACTTTATTTTTCTTAGAGGAGAGAGATTGCTGCTGTAGAATAAAAGAGGCATGTGTAACTCTACAGATCTGTAACAGATAAAATTCACATTCACAAAACATCTGTCTCACATTACATACCTACAGATATACTGCATTGTTGGGTTTAACAGACCTTTTGATGACAAAAAAAAATAACACAACCAGAAAACAGGTTTACAATAGTACAGTAAACTATTTTTTAAATATGCCTACCTCATGCAGATGGAAGTTTCCGTCTGGGAAGAATATTATTTCTAGGGGAAATTATCTGAGTTGATATTTATATACAGAACATAATATGTGAAGGCTATGTGAAGATACACTGCAATATCCTCTACAGGATTTCCTAGTGGGAAATGGAATGTATCATAGAGAACTAAACAGAGATTACCTCTGATGAAATGGCATTGTACTATTACTTTAGTGCAACGTTGGCAGAAAAAAAAGATGAGTCTGTTAGTAGAGCCTCAGATTATCTGCGGTAAATTGGCAAGGATTTATCATTCCCATCCAGAAAATAGCTAAATCTAAAATATATTAATTACATTAAATTAGTATCTGAAGAGAAGCAAGATTGGCTAACTAGGAGGATAGTTTAGTATGAATGCCATTTAGCTATTTTACAAATTCCTAGTTATCAGATTTGTTTCTCAATGTATATTTTTTCACCAGTATGGTTCATTGAAATTTCTAAACAAATTTCACATGTCTGAAATGAATCACTCTGGCCACAGCAGATAACATCGTGATTTAAATGAATATATGTAATTAATATATACTTTGACTGCAAACTTTTTAAAAAATAGTTGGAATTTGATGTTTCTAACTTCAATTAACTATAGCCAAAAATATGTTAGAATGAATACAGGGATGTAAAAATGTTTACAGTAGGTTTA